AAACTCCTCCTGTTCTCTGATTGGCCCAGGTAAAATAAACTACAAGCAGACACTGCACAGAAAATCAACGTTCTGTTCTCTGATTGGCCCAGGTAAAATAAACTACAAGCAGACACTGCACAGAAAATCAACGTTCTGTTCTCTGATTGGCCCAGGTAAAATAAACTACAAGCAGACACTGCACAGAAAATCAACGTTCTGTTCTCTGATTGGTCCGGCTAAAAATCTGCCAGTGAAATCCATCTCAATGGGAGAAGTCCCAGACGGAGCAGAGAAGGGAAACTAGAATTGAGCAGAGCTGCTTAGGAAGGCAAGGGCCAGGCTAGGTCAGAGAGTGCAACACCAAAAATATGTAGGCATTTGATTAAGTTAAAAGATTAACTTAATAAAAAGGCTCAAGAAATAAACTGTATGTCTTGTTGAACCTACTACATTTTCACTCAGCCAATTCCATTGAGCGATCATTTAGAGAAATGACCTCTTTGGACCAAAGTTAACTTAGTAACTTTCACTTTTTGTGATTCTGTATCATGTTTGCAGTTAGAAGCTTTTTATAACTCTCTCTTTTTTACGCTTCTATTCTTTAATTCATTAGTTCATGCAGTTGATTTGGGCATTCCTCGGGGAACAAATAAAGGCTTATTTTTGGAGTTGGGGGTGAATAGTGAATTATTCTAGGTATGCATGCTGCCAGGCTCCATCTGCATCCAACTCCCTTTTCACCGTGTATCCTCACACATCCCTCTATCTTCAGAATATTAATGCGCTGCACTGTCAGAAGCCATTGTTGGGATTGGTACACAAATCTTTTTGCATGACTGGTTTCTTTTGTTTTACCAGGCTTACTCTACCTCTACAAATCATGCTAAACCTGACATGATGGGGGGGCAGTGCGTGTCTGTGTATTTGGAGAGGAAAAAGAAATGAAAGCAATTAAAAGCGTAGCACTACTTGGCAGGGTGCATATCACCCACCATTTTTCATGCCAGAGATTTACAATAATGATGATGTTATGATGAGAAATTTAACCGTTTTGGTCAAAAACCAAAAATGTGATATAAAATATCACATCATAATATGAGTTAAGGATGATYCTCAGCTACTGTCTAGACAAATTTTAGCCTATATCTGTAGAAAACATACTGAGTTAGTGACATTTCATATAAATGAGTCCAGTGGTTTATGAAACATTTTGCTAACAGACAGACACACACAGCAGTAAAAAAACATCATCGCGAGCCATTCGCTGTTTGTCAGTGAGCGATAAAGATAGTGGGAAACAGGATGCAGATGCATTTGGCAGTTTTCTTTTTTTAAAGACGGCAATGGTAACCTTTTGGCAAATTGCTGCCGGGCTCTGAGGAAGGACTTGTGAGGGCATAAGAGCGGTAGACTGAGGGGTGAAGAGGGTGGTGGAAAAACGTGGGGAGGACAAGTGAGAAATGTAAATGGTAGGAGGTGAAGGAAAAAAAAAGCGAGTGAGTGGGGAGCGAAAGAAGGGAGAAAGTGCTGGAGGGGTGATATTTAATGTGATAAATGAGTTGTGACAGTCTGCCTCTACCCCCCCCCCCCCCCCCCCCCCCCCCCCAAGTACCAACCAGCAACGAGCGAGGAGGAACACAGAAATAGAAAGCATTCTGGGTAAAAGGGCACATTTGCCATTATGGATGGATATGGAAAGAAAACAGTGCACAGAAAGTGTAGAAACAGAGAGGTGGTGGTGGTGGTGGTGGGGGGGATCAGTGGCAGCAAAAGGACATTCATAGGCAGCATTATAGATGGAGAAAGTGAAGGAGGGGAGTGGGGATGCATACATATAGCCTGCAAAAGCAGTGAGGGAAGCAAAGCAATTTGGGTAACATCATGGGGAGGAGAACAGAGGGGTGGGGGGTAATGCAGCAGAGGGTTAATGATCTACTGAATGAGATTCTTCAAAAATAACTGTGGGTGGGGGGGTGATGAAAGCCAAAGTGGGAAGAATGAAAATTTAACATAAATCTTGTAACACGTACCGTGCCTTCAGGGGACAGCTAATTACAAGTCGTCATCGCAAAGCGTGGAGCAAGATTTTTTTGGGGGGGGAGTGGGACTTTTTTCTGACTCTTATTATGTGGTCAGCGGCCCGTCTGCTGTGAGATCGGCCCACAGGCTGGAAGAGACAGAGAAGGGGGTCCAGAAGACAATGACAGCCACTGTAGTTTGGGTCGGGGAGCTGAGGCCAGCGAGATGACTCACGGAGAGGAATGACGGAGGGGAGGGAAACAAAAAGTCAGAAATCAAGAACGAGCGGGGGTGGGGGGGATGCTGAAGCTCCGTGTTTGATCTTCTGAGAGGGTTTCAAAGCCGCCCCCCACCCCATCATCCTCTTTTTTCTTCTTCTCTGACTCTGTTCTGGTTCCCTCTCCCTCGACAACTTTGTTCTTCCATGTTGTTCGTTGCTCGTTTAAGTTGCTCGGTTTATGACCGCAAGYCATAGAGTCATCAAATGTGGTAATTATGTCTATCTATTACTGTTGGGTGGAATGAAAAATGTTATCAATTAGGCATAAAAATGCACAAAAATAAAAGGAGTAATTAGATTTTTCTGCAAAAATTGCAGCGTGGATGCTGAGAATTGCTACAATTTGTTGAGGAAGCTGAAACTGTTGTTAAAGTTAAAACAAGTAGGACAGAGGCTGAAATGAGCAGAACACAAGCTAAAAACAGCAGAACAGCAGCTACAAGCTAAAAGCAGGCACCAGGACCACTTCACTTGTAGTGGCCCGGGAAAGACCCAAGACTCGCTGGAAGGATTATGTATCCTCTCTGGCCTGGGAACATTTCAGGGRTGAGCTGAAACGTGTCCATTGAGGAGAGGGAATATCTGAGTCTCCCTTAGGGGTGTCCTGATACAACTTTTTCACTTCTGATATGATACCGATATTGCAGCCTTGCATACTGACTGATACCGAGATATAATCCGATACATATTGTTTTGGCTAATATCGGACTGATATCCAATATTGATAGCGGATTGGGACACCCCTAGTTTCCCTCCTAGACCTGTTGCAGAAGATGGAGACAGATGCTATAGATAAAATGAGCAAACAGTAGCTAAATGTAGCAAAACAGATAAAGCTGTTGTTCTTGCAAAACAATAGCTATAAAGTCAAATGGTGCAAAATGTTAACTAAAAGCATAAAGAAGCCATTTGAGAACAGCAGAATGGTAGCTAAATGCTAAAAGTAGCATAAGAAGATGAAAAGACCAATTCAATTCAATTCAATTCAATTCAGTTCAATTCAGTTTATTTATATAGCACCAAGCTACAACATACGTTGTCTCAGGGCACTGCACATAAAAAAAGAACAATCTAAAGAAGAAATGAAGAATGCTAAAGTAGATTTGAATAAGATTTATGCTCTTGAAGTAGATGAAGAGGTCAACAGTGTCTGGTTTTATTTTAAACAAAGCTGAACATTTTTTTTTATAAAACCTAAGCACACTATTCCCAGTTGATCCTGTATACGAATTGGTAAAATAGCGCGAAGTATGTAGAACTAGCCTAATTACAAAAAACACACCAGAGAAACTTTTTATACAAGAAATGTTTAAATGAATGTTAGCTTAGCGTTCACACAATAACACGCTGGCGTGAGTTTAAAGTAGTATGTCAAGAACATACAAAGTTCCTAACTTTTCTCTGTCTTTTTTCTTTATTCCTATATTTGTGCTGAAGCAGCAGTGAGGACAGCGAGGTTCTCCCAGGAGCCGGCAGACCTTTCTGTGGTACGAGGCCAGAGGGTGATCCTGTCCTGTGTTGTTTTCAACTACTCTGGCATTGTTCAGTGGACCAAAGATGGCCTGGCTCTGGGCATCGGAGAGGACCTCCGGGGTGAGACACYACACACTGTCCTCAGGCAACCTTCAGTGTGTTCAACACGTCTGAAGCTGACTGAGAATATGTCACACATGTAATGAGGCCACAACCTCATAGGGGTGGGAATCTTTAGACACCTTRTATTCAGTTACAATTCACAAGACTATGATGCAATTACAAAACAATTATTGATGCCTAAAGAACTATGGCTTAATTTACGTACATGAACATTGATTTATATATTTTCATGCCTAGTAAAACGTACACAAAATTTGTGTCAAAATCAGGGTTCCCACAGATACTTAAAAAGTCTTAAAAGTCATTGAATTAATCCAAAAATCCAATCCAAAAAAAGGTCTTAATTAGCTTTAAAATGTCTATTCAGTCTATTTAGAGGTCTTAAAAATRTTAACACATTGTAAGTAGGGTGATTGTAATTTGTCTTACATGTTAAAAYAAATGGTAACAGTTAGTTGTTTTTGAAATAATTCCCTAAATTCTTCTTACAGCTAGTTGTTTGGTATTAAAATAAGCCTTTGGGTAAAATTGTCACTTATTTTCCCATTTGTGTTCATTGTAAAGTTGGTGTTAAGTTTAATTTCAAGTGGCATTAAAAAAGTTTTAACAAAATTGTAAATTTAACTTGTCCTAAGTTGTAGGAACCCTGAAATAAACCCTTATAAACCCAGGCTGCAGTCCAATATTAGCATAGATACTAACTTAACATTGAAAATAGCACTGAAAAACTAACATGGTTAGCATTTTTTTAWCACTGGAAACTTATACACAAATTAAACATTTAAAAAAACATTATGATAGACAATCATAATACAGTAACAGCAACTATTTACAGACATATACACCTTCCGGCTTCAACAAAGAAAATATGGAAAAGATGTGAAAATACGATTTTATTGGTTCATGTTTACTGCAAGAATCTACAGTAACTCTACCAGCTTKATCTTAAACCGTCTTAAACAAGTCCACTCATCATTATACAGCGGGTAAAATAAGTATTGAACACGTCAACATTTTTCTCAGTAAATATATTACTAGAGGTGCCAATGACA